AGAAGAATATACACCATGTGGCTCAGGTCAAAGGAAAGCAATGGTGGCTGCTATCAAATCAAGTAGACTTCAGAGCAGAGAATGCTACAGCAGGAGGGATTGTGGGAGAATGAGCAACCAACCCCCTGACCAAGGAGACTTGGTCAACACAAACATATTCACCAGATACAGAAATACAAAACATATGAGATTAAAAGCTGATGGAGCTGACAGAAACAATCCAACAGCAACACACCAGAAGCATTTCTGGAGCTCTCCACTGAGCAGTAGTTTATAGAAGATTATCTTGAAGGAATGTGGGGAATATGACAAAATAAACCATACCAAGACTATGAAACAACCACAGCAAACTGATAAGAACTGAAGTAGTTTAAAGCATGCTCTCCAACCAAATTGGAAATAGTAATCAGTAACCAAAAGATAATTTCAAGCCAATTTCTAAATCATTGATGTGTCAGAGACATATTAAGGCAAATCACAAAGCTGGCTCTCTGTAAATACCATTAACTTTGACAAGCCTGAAAACAGACTCACAAGAAAGAAAGGACATAAATTGCCAGAACCAGGAAAGAAAAAGACCCTGATGGAGCTCAGCATATGTAGAGTAGATGACAAAAAACAAGGGGAACTCCATCAAGGTGAAGCATTGTCTTCCCCAAGAAAGACTGTTTGGGCTAGATGCCACCACTGAAGATTTCTACCAAATACTTAGAAAGATTGAAAACATCCCTCCAAAATCAAGGGAAAAAAGGAAAGAAGGAGAGAAAGGGAGACAGCCAGGCAAACAGACAGAAAGATGATTTTTGTTTCCACACCTAAATTCCCAAATATTATTTATAAATGTTTGTTTTCATTTAAATGGGGTTGGTTATAAATGGTTAATGACAACAACCAGTCTCTTTTTTAAGGTAAAAAGGGGATTATGGTATAGATATGAATACTTTGTTTTGGAATGGATTTTCATTTATTGATACAATTTAAGGTCAATTTTGTGATATGTATATTTCTCCTCTTATTTAGGTATTGTGTTTATATAGCTCATTTAAAAAATGTATAATGTAGTACAGCTTATAGATAATTACCTAGAATAGTCAAAACTTAGAGTTAAGATAGTTAGGTTTTTGAGATGTATTTGAGATAAATAGGCATTCTTCAAACCTTTCAAAGACCTACAGAATATGGCATTTAAAATGGTTTGGGGTTTTTCTTGATAGTGAGACATAAATGCTCCTGGCAACACCACCTGCACCAAAAAGGAAGAAGGAAGATGGACATCGAAGAAACGCGTTATGAAGTTACTTCCAATATGGCAAGACTAGCCATTTGAACATGATACTGCTCTTGTCTGGACTGTTTGACTTTGTGCTTTATAAAAATGGACATGCAGGACCCACAGAATAGTGACTGCTGATTCAAGATGGACATTGCAAGATGGACAAGCAAGAGTTCCTGCTTCATGGAAGAGTCTACCAGACATTCTGCAGGACACAGAGAAAAGTGACTGACAAACTGCCAATACAGAAGACAGTTTAAAGTTTCCTGCTTTGCTGAAGAGTCTGCCAGACACACTATGGCCTATGGGCTGAAAATGGAACATTACAGAAGACCTTCGGGTGATTGACCAGGCAGTGGGTTGTCTCTGTCATTTCTAGAGTTTATATACTATCTTTCTATGGACTTTGAAAGAGTTGAAGACAGATAGTTATGGTTATAGTTTTCCTTAGTTAGGATTAAAGATAAGTTACATAGACTTTAGACACACAAAGATAGGATAGATGATGGAATATTTTCTTAAAATCTTGCTAAATCTTAATGGACTAAATATTGTTAACTGTGATTCTTAATAAATGTTGTGTTATATATTTTGCTATGTTAAGCTTAAAACCCTTCCTTTTATTTAGACAGAAAAGAGGAGATGATGGGAGATGTCATTCTGTATATGTTTCTCATACTGGTTAATAAATAAAGCACTGTTGGCCAATAGGAAAGCAAGATAGGCAGGACTAGGAGACGAGGAGAGAGGAAGTAGTAAGGAGGAGTCAGCATGGGGAGACTGGAGAGAGCAGAACACCAGCCCGCTCTCCGCTAAGATGAGACCACGTGGAAATACTTAGATTAATAGAAATGGGTTAATACTTAAGACAGAGCTAGCCGATAAAAAACAAGTAACTGGCCAATTATATCAAATACAGAGTCTCCATGTGTTATTTGGGGCTGGTGCGGCTGTGGGACTGGTGGTGGGGAAAAACTATTCGCAACATAGAGACAGAGAGAGAGAGAGACAGACAGACACATACACACACACATATACACACACACATACACACACACACACAAACACACACACACACAAAACACACACACACAAGAGAGAGTGGGAGGCACAAACATCGCACCAGCAAGGGCACATTCCCTAGGAATACATGAATACAAACAAATTCTGCAAGGTGGATATGATCAGACCAGTTCCTTACTTTTCTGTGTTGGAGTCCATGACCTTTTCAAGTTGCTTATATTGATGTCTTTATCATCATCATCATCATCATCCATATCATCATCATCCATATCATATCATCATCATTTTTATTGTTATCACAAGTTCTAACTGTGTAGTTCAGGCTAGCCCATACTACCAGTCTTTCTGCTTGAGCATCCTGAAAGCTGGTGTTACAAGCAAACACACTAAACCCAACCAACCATTCATTCTTTTAACATAATTTCCTCCTTGAACATAAGCAGTTGCTCTGGGGTTGATTCTACACCATCTCTAGGCAACAAGGCTCTTTATGCAGAACAAAGTTGAGAAAGTGTTTTATGATCACTAGTATTCTCATTTGGTTCTGTCTTGGGTTTTTTTTTTTAACTCCCCTAGTGATTCTGTGCTGAAGGTTTTGATATTTTTCTTAAACATTGGTTGCTCTCTTTTTTTGCTGCCTTCGCTTTTGTTCTGTAGCTGACCCTCACAGCCATTTATTTTGAGCTATTATTAAGGCCTCTCTGACATTTTCATATAATATGTTCTAACGTGCTCTGGAAACTTGTTGTGGGAGGCAATTAGTACTCTCCCCAACTACAGTACAACATTCACAAAGCCTTGTTGGGTGTCTGATGCCATGGTCAACCACTAAGCATTGTTTTGTGTGTCACTGTATGACATGCTTTAGATAGAGTCCTTCAAGAAAAGACACATCATACTCTTTTGCCCAGCAGTTGGTGTTCTATGTGTAACTTTTATCCATGCTTTTACCCATAGATCTAAAGTTATGAAGTCATCCTTATAGCCTCTGTATCTTGAGCTATTGCAAATATGTGTCATGAAAATTCACCCCATCAGTAAACTTGCTGATTTTGTTTTCAAATGTAAGCAGTCTACAAGGCTGCCTTTAAAGCGGTCATGTTTTTGACCACTCCTCTGGCACCCTTGTCTGACTAAATGGACCGTGAGGCAAACTCTTCTCAGAGAACTGGGAAGCAGGTGTCAACTTGAGGGTTTTTCCCAACATACTGAGGAGGAGGGAAGTACAGAGTAAACATACAACACAATGGGGTATACTGATATTACCACACACACACACACACACACACACACACACACCATAACAGATTCTCAAGATTTGAATGGGAAGAGGCTATGTGTTTGGCAGCCACTGGCTGACTGTTGTGATTTCTGCATAGCTGAGCATCTGCACAAACTTCCCACTTCTTTTCTCTGTCTTACCTGGAGCCTCTGAGAGGCTAACTAAGCACACAAGTGTATAACATTCTGCAACAATGTGCTCCTGCCCTCCAAGGACCAGACCACTATCCTTTGGGTTCACAGTTCTATTCCTTTCATGATGTCAGAGACTTAGGCTACAAGAATATAATGATCTCTTAGAAATTTTTTTTCTCATAGTTTATAATTACTACATTTAAATTCTAGAAATTTAGCAAGTTCAAAACATGAGAACATAAATTGTGATGGGACTTGTTAAAAGGAATGTCAGCACTTCTTATGGTCTGGGTCAAGTTAGAAAAGATGAGCTAGAGAAACTGCTGGGGACATGGCTGGAACTTCCAATTCCCACCAGCATCAAAACACTAGTTGTTTTACACCTGCTTTGTGCATGATTTTGGTGAGCAGCTATGGACACCTAACAAAGTTAGGAGGCTGATAAAAAGGAGGGGTTGTCAAGTCATGTTGAATGGGCTCCTCACTTCATGGGCCTGCTCTCTGTCTGCCTGTGAGAGGTACAGGAGAGAATGGAGCCAAGATGTGGTGACAATCTCAGCAGGGATCTTTGACATATGTCAGTGATATTTGGGGCATTTGTCTAGTTCCTAGGAAAAGAATATAGTATAACAAAAGATAAAATGACAGGACCAGTGCAGAGAATGTCCAGGACACCCTGTGTATAGTGATAAGAATCAATGGAAATGTGAGATGAGCTGCTCCTGACCTCCCTTTGTTGGATGTGTGAGTGTATGTGTCAGAGAGCCAGAAAATCTAGTCTGCCCCCATCATCATCATCCTTAAGCAAGACATTCATCCCTATATCATTACAATGATGGCTTCAGATCTTCTGTTGGCTGGGGTAACTGTACCTGAAAACTGATTACTGAAGTTGACAAAAATAACTTTTCCAATTTTATAACTGTTTCTTTGAATATGGTCTTTCTATGCCCTAGACTACTGTGAAATATTTAAAGCACATATATACTCCAGTGAGTGAAGAACAGATTATCTGTTGAACTGTTTTATTATTTGGTTTTCTTTACTTGCTGCCTTTAAAAACATCTCTGTCTGTTTAAAGACAAAAAGCAAGAGAGATCTACCTGCTGTAGGTGTCCCTGCAGTTCCCTAAAAACCCCCAATCCTTCTAATTTATTCTATATAATTTGTGTGTTCAGACTTAAAACCGCGTACTTTGCCTAAAATAGCTAATGTGCCAACTACTTACCTATAGTTAACCAGAAGTATTATAGAGCACTTATTCAAAATGAATAATATTTTTTTCTAGTCAAAAACATATCTGTGCAGCTGGCAAGGAGAAATGCTGTGCTTCACTGTGGATTTTGCTCTGGGATTCACCTGCTTTGGACCGGTAAAACAAAGGTAAGATATAGGGAGCCCCTGTAGACCCTATACATGTTACATTGTACTTAGAGAAGTGTGAGAGTAGATAGCTCCCATCAGCTGTGTACTGTGCCAAAGGTCTGCCTCTACAACCTGTCTTCCTTCTCCATAGTTTCGGGGTCCCTGGGTGTTCACAATCCCTAGAGCCCACACAGAAAAACTCCAAACTCCAGCAAAATGGTGTTTGGAAGCTATGATTCACTGGGGGTCGGGGGGAGCACAGGATGGGTTTTCTTGATTTCTCTGAAGGAAAAAATCCCACAACACTAAAATATAGTGAATAGAATCCCAACCATTGCTTAAAACCAGAGTACTTTTTGGAGAGAGTAAGCTCCATGAGTTGGTAGAATGTACCCATGAATGGAAAGCTGCCCTCGATTCCAGCCTCATTGATTAAAGCCACTTGTCCGAGCAGTGGGAATCACTGAATCATTTCCATCTGAGGGCTCTACTGATAAGAAAATGTTTGCCAAAGGGAAGAGCCCATGTTTTATCAAATAATATTTATAAAAATCTGCTTTGCTAATTAAGAATGAGTGCAGATTGAGAAAGTATGCTGATGATGAATGCTTCAGTGAACAGAGGATGCCAATAGATTTTATTGAGATCTCACTGGCTTTCATTAGCAAGGGCAAAGCATGGCAACACACAGCAGACTCACAGGCAGAAGACTGGTTTCTGATGTGGGGAGAGCTTGGGCAAGATCAAGGGTCCACACACAATGGATCCCATGGCTCATAGGGAGCTACTTCCTGTGGCTTCCTTTGCAGAAAAGCAGAAAAGGATGTCTTTATTGTCCTCTTAGGCTAGCTGAGTCCCTTCTTGATTGAATGCTGCCAATCTGTTCTTAGGAAAATCTGGACTGTTGGGGTTTTTTCCCTGTTGCATGAAGGTTCAGTTTGATGTTGTGCCACTTGACATAAGTGATGCTATTCTGGTCTGGTCTGGTCTGGTCTGGTCTTTGGATCTTCATGCCTAAGCTTATCCATACACATGAATTCATTAACCATAAAATGGTTACTGTCCCTAACCAAAATAGGAGTTCCAGAAACCTGATTTCCACATATATTTTCCTGGTTCAGCTTCTACCTTTCACTGTTCCCAGAGCCCACAATGAGGAAGTGAACCCTCATGGAAGGCTCCTAATAGCCAGCAATCATTTTCTCATAGTTATTTCCAATCTGCTGTATCTAAGCCTCTAGGGCCACTCTCTTCTGTGGCCCAGTCTCTGCAACCAGTTGGTAAGTACTTATAGACAGTGACTTTGTCTAGGAGTCTTCCCCTTGCTGCTCCTTCCGCCAAAACAAAGATTTCTGCCAGGACAAGTCTGCCCTCTAGGGGTCACATGGAGATGTCTGAAGAAGGCTTTTCATTTCCAGGGCTCTTCTGTCCCATCTGGAATGTCCATGATGGAGGCCTTAAGGGCTGCTCAGAACCTGCCATGAGCAGGAGAGAGCACCATATAGAATTATCATATCCAAGTACTCTGTGTGCAGAGGTAGAGAAATCCTGAGACAAAGATAGAGGCTGCTTTTGTTACACAATCTTGCCTCCTGAAAACTCACTAAAAATGTTGTCCCTTCACTTCCTCCCAGGGAGATAGATTATTATGATGTTCTCCAGTATGGACTCACACAGTGATTGTAGCAATAACAAAATGCAGTTGCATAAAATTTTAATATCAATAATGTATTTTAATTCTGCATCCAACATCAAAGGCCATCTAGAGTTAGTGAGTAAATGACTCCGATTCCTGTCAAAGGTTCTTCAAATTGTTCCACTTTGTTGACCATGGCATAGGACCTGTACTTGGAACTAAAATGCTCAAGAAGTCAGAGCTAAATACTCTTGCTACATGTTTCCTTTTGGAATGAGTGTGATGTCAGAGCATCTACCCTGAAGGAAGGAGAACACTCTGTGTAGTCTCTGCTGCTTCCTCTGCGATGCACACAATCTTGCACTTCCAGGACACCACATTTGAGACATTCTGGATTATTCTACCCTCAGGGCAGGGTTGATCTACCTCCACAGAATCTGTGTATCTTCCCTCTCATTTGGCAATGTCCTGGAATTGATCTTGGCCAAGGCCCGTACCAAGGAAGAGCAAAACAGCACACAGTCCTGCTGCCTGCTGGAGATCCCACTGGTGTTCCTTTGAGCTCTTTCTTGATAGTCTTTCTGTCAGTGCCAGAATTAGCACAATTCACACAAGAGTCTGCAGAAGGCCTTTGTGACTCTACACGAGTATATTACCATGTCTACCTACTCTCCAATGTGCAGCCTGGACAGGGCAACGCTGCCAGGGAAGGTCTTGATGTAAACTCCGGTTCCTGGTAACCTGGAAGGAAGGGTCTAGTATTCTTTAGCTCCTTTTCTGTTTCTGTGAGGATCTATGGGAAGTTCTGAGCTGGTCCCTTGCCCTTGTATGAGGGCTGAGCACATGGTGGACAAACTTTCCCTCTAGTGTGGGGGCTGGCTTATCTGGGATGTTGAGTACTTGTGCAACTATAATTGATGGTGTTACATTACAACTAAGTCATTCACCAGCTGTCATCTTTCAATTTTGAATCTCTGCCTGTTTCCTGCCCTCCTTTTCCCCAGGCAATGTCTCTGGTTTCCAAGGCAGGCCTAAAATGGGGCTCTGAGGATACTTCTTGCCATTAAATCTAGCATCTTTTCCATAAAATTAACCTAACAGTTGGTAAATGGTATTATTTGTTTCTTAGTGCTTTACATGACTGTTGTGAGCCCTTGAGAACTGGACTCCCCTGGTGACTGTGTACTTGTGCATGTGTGGGCCAGAGGGTTCCTGAGGTTGACTTTGACTAGATTAGGCTATCTAATCAATCTGAACTTTGAATATAAGCATTTATGTCAGTCCTTTAATGCCTCCTTGGGCTAGACAAAATGGCCTGCCTCTTACCCAGAATGCACTGTCAATGATGAAAGCAAAGTGGAAGGCCTTACGTTTAATATGTGTGTGCCATATAACTGGAAACCTGTGTTTTAGATGCTTAAACCACATGAAGATGCCTTCCATCTCCATGATTGAGAGCTGAGTGTTGAGATGCCATTCAGCCTTTATTACTCCAGTGGGAAACCCAATGCCCTTTGAAATTCATCTCCTATGTTTTAACTAAAGTGAGCACTGTTATTGTTTCATGCTCTCCAAGCAGCCAAGCTAGGTTCTAACTTCCCAGCTTGCATACCCAGACCTGTGTACAGAGGCTCAATCATGTATTAAGAAAGGCTCAGTGTTTGGAAATTAAATATCTTACTTAGACTACAGGAAGAAATAACATTCACCATTTTCTGAAATAGTTTTCTTTAAAAAAATAGAATTACATTTAGAGTTCATGACAGAAAGCATAAGAAATTTGAAATAAATGTCTCTTAGTCATTCAAGACTATATAAGTGTCAATCATCCAGAGGTGCTTATGGAATCACATGCTTAGAACATGAGGCTCAAAAAAAGAAAAAAAGGGGGGGGATTGGCCTGATCACCATGTGGGTCTAGATTTTTTGTAATGCATCCCAGACCAGAAGAGGCAGAAGAATGTTTCCTTGCATCACCCACAAACAAGGGTTGCATAATAAATAAAGCTGGGGTGAGGTTTCTCAAGTTCTCAATCTGAACAGACACTGGTAACTCCTGCTCTGAAAACACCCTGGTACCTGTATCTACCAGAACAGGCAGAGGCTCAGCCTCAGTACCATGGAAATGCAAGGATGGAGTAGGTGGTCCTCAGGATATTGTGGATTCCAACTGTTTTGAAATATAGATGGAACATGAACTTCAAGACTTTTCCATTGGTTCAGGTCCTCAATTCAATACGCAAAATATCACAAGGAATCTTGAGGCCAGCGTGGACAGTGTGGCACACAGCTTGCCATCTGAAATGAAAAAGCATTTTGAGACTTTCCATTCCCTTCCTTCTTGTCTGGTTGACATTGAATGCTTTGTGCATCATTTAGAAATTGGTACTTTTTATTCGTTTACTTAGAAATTAGTGTTTGCAGTTAAAAACAAACAAACAAACAAACAAACTTGACCTTCAGGATTCTTCCCATTGGTATTTTCCTAGGAAAATAAGGATCGTGTTGTCTTGTTTTGTGAGGTGGGTTCTCCCTGTGTAACCCTTGCTGGTTTGGAGCTCACTGTGTGAACCAGACTAGCCTCAAACTTGAGTTTATCCTCCTGTCTCAGCCTTCTGAGGGCTGAGATGACATTTTTGCCTCTGAAGCATGTTAGCAAGTGCTAAGCAAACTTGAAGCAGTAGTATAAGGTAGTGCTGCCCCGGTTGTCCTGTTGGTTCTCGGGGTCCTGAGGCTGAATGGTAGCATGTAGCCATGGTGGGGATAATACAGCCAGGATCCAAGCAATGTTAACTACACTGTGGCAGGATTCTACTGGGTAAGAGACATGCCTTCAGTGGACTTTATAGTTCGGCAAGCAAAGAAGGAAGCAATGGTCTTAGAAAATTTCCAGGGTAGGTACAGGAAGCCCAGGAGGATGAAAGCAGAGTGAAGACTAGAGAGGCTTCATGTGTGACCCTGAGCTCTCTGGGCATGGGGTCAGCCTCTACACACAGGAAGTGGGTATGTCATAACAAATGGCATTTACCCAGATAGGTGCTTTATGTTATTAGATATTAATTACATGAAAATACTTGTGCTACTGAATCACTCATTTGTTTATTTTCTCTGCAGAACGTGCTCTGGAGATTCAAGTTCTCGCAGCTAAGGGATCTTCAGATGATGGTAAAACTCGAGTAAAGCTGCTGTTTCAGAATCTGGACACCAAACAGATCGAAACAAAGGTAAAGTTTGCACATGTGGCACCCAAAGAGGGAGAGGGATCAGCTGGTAAAAAGATATGAGAAGAGGAAACAAATTCATCCCACAGTTGGACGTCAGCTTAACAAACCCAGGGCTGATATTTTTTCACTGAGAGTTTATGTCCTGAAACTGTGACAGATGAAACAAATTATTCAATTCTATCAGAATCCAAAAGTTGCTTAGTAAATAGCAGCAGGAAGTCAGTACTTTAAAATGTTCTAGAAGCCAAAATCTAATAGAAGAGTTTTGCAAACTGTATTATCTGACAGTATGTCTATAGTAGGGAATATAAGAAAAAGTCCCCCTATCCCTTTCAAAAGCACCACACTAAGGTATTTTGTTGTTAATAGGTAGACTATTTTTTTACATAAATATATCACCAACAAACTAGTTTTATTAAAACTAAAGTCAAAATGAACGTATAAATTTAGCACATTGAAAGACTTTTTGTGTGGAATGCATACACATTGTTTAGAATAGCACCTCCTCCCTTATATTTCTTTCTTATGAAATTAACCTGAGCAACACAACACACCTGAAATTGTTATATGTGAAGGCTTAGGGTTTATTTTTATCCTTTCCTTGTCTCCAAAAAAAGAATGTTTCACAGCTGCTTTCTAAGTAGAAGAGAAATTGTGCAGAATTGCTTGGCTCTTCTGTGTGGAGAACTGGTCAAGGCCAGAGGGATATGTACGCTCTGGGCAGGCTGTGGAAACTTCAAGGTTTATAGCCCTGAAGGGAAGTAGGACGATGTGCATTCCTGAGATGGGACATTCAGGCTCTGGGTTCCTGAGTGTGAGCAGCTGAGCTGTGGAGCCCTGAAATGAGAGCCAACTATGAAGGTTTGAGGTGCTAAGCTGTGGGGGAACCATGCTGTGGAACCTTGTGTTTGTGGGAAGGAGGGCTGTGGAGCCTTGGGCTGGAGGAAGGGTGGGAAGCTCACATAGGTTGGCATGGGCTGTGGGCTCCTGTGGTGCCATTAAAATGGGGAGATGAGACATGAGACTCTTAGCACACTGGGCTGGCTGGAGAGGTTGCATCCTGTCACTCCACTATGAGCTAAGTTCTGTGATCTGAGTCGTCGGGAGAGTCAGGCAGACAGTGACTTGTAACACATTAATGTCAAGAATTCTTCTTCCTCCTGGTCTGTTCATTGATGGGGCACCCATGGCATGGAGGGACCTGTCACCTTTTCCAGCACTGGTCCTGTCACTATCACTTCAGCCTGGGAACCACAGGGCCCTGGGGATTTGGGCTCACAGTATGTTGTTCCTCTGGAGCACAAGCTGTAGGAGCAGCTCGTGCTTGCCTGGTATCTGAGATGCCCCTTAAGAGGTGGTACTGTGTGATTTAATGGTATAATTTCCTATTTTTCACAGTAATTTAGTCCATTGTAAGTTACCTGTGTTGATAAAGGGGTACATTTGTCAGTATAACACAAATATAAATTGGTGTGTAGTGATTTGAAATTAATGTTACCTTCTCTGTGGCCCTTAGCTTGGGTTATGTGGGTTTACATCCTAGTTGATAGAAAAGAAAAAGATCTAAAATTTACAAAGGCCATAGAGATGAGTATTGGCTAAATAATGCTAAAATTTTAAACAATATTTGAGGATCTTTTTAAGAAAAAAATGAGAAATGAGTTAGAAATATTTAGGAGGTATGTGGCTATATCGCAACAAACTCAAATGCACAAACATGCAGCCCAACCTTGATACTTCATCAATTCCAGATTACCAGAGCTTCTCTTGGGACACAAGGAGGGAATGGGCAGAAACTGGCTGAGGTTCTAACAGAAATGAAGCAAGAACCAGGAGCACCTCCTGGGCTTTGGAGGTTTCTGCAGGTACAGACCAGGGCTCACTATTATAAGGGAAAGAAACAGGGACAGTGCCTCGCATAACCCTGCTCGTCTCAGAAATAATGTCCCCAGCTGCAGCTGCTGTAGCTTATAAAACAAGGGGAAATTAGACCTCTAGGTATTCTTGGAGTTAGCACACAGCCTCAATCTCTCTCTCTCTGTCTCTCTCTCTCTCTCCTTCCCCCTCTCCTTCTCCCTCCCTTCCTCCCTCCCTCCTTCCCTTCCTTTCTCTATGCTCCCCCTGCCCCTCTCTCTTTTTTCTCATGTGTGTGGTTCACATATGTATGTGTTCATATACGTGTGTGCATATGTACATGTGTTTGTGTACTGTGTCGCAGAGGTCAGAGGCTGATGCATGATGCCTTTGTCAATTTCTCTCTACCTAATTTTTTGAGACAAGGACTTTCTCTGGACCTGAATTCACTAATCCTCCTAGGCTGACAGGCAGTGAGCTCTGAGAATCCACCCTCTCTGCCTGCTCAGTGCTAGGTAGCTTATGCTGACTCTGTGCAGTTGCTGAATGTCTTAATTCAGGTCTTCATGCTTGGTGTGACAAATACTTTACCAACTGAGCCATCTCCCCTACTTCTAAAACCTTCATAAGTAAAAGATTTACTTATCTGGAGTTCTATTAAGCTGACTAATTATGTGACTTACAGTGAGTGAGACTATGAGAAGACACAGTATGGGATAGTGATGGAAAAACAGTCCCCACCCTCACAGCTAGCTCCTGCTGTGATGTGACACCCCACCCCCTCACACCCAAGCCTTGTTTCTGCATGTATTGGGCTTATTTAAATGTCCTATGGTTTCCTCTGTGTCTGAGGCTGAGGTTCTCAAGGCTGGTTTAGATAGGTTATTTCTGTAGCATGAGGTCTATGGTACATGTGTTTAATAAAGGGGTTTTAAATTAATATGTCAACACTGGAAAGAAAGAGAAACTAACTACAGAAAGTACTGTCAAATGCTGGGACCTGTGACTCATGCCTTTCATCCCAGCAACTGGGAGGTAGAGATATCAGGATCATGGGTTGAAAAATCATCCTTGGCTATGTAGCAATTTCAAGGCCACCCTGAGAGAGAATGTGGCGGGGGGGGGGGGGGGGGGGGGGAAGAGAGGGGAGGAGGAGGAAGGGAAAGGAGGTATTACCAAATATACTCACTTTTACAAGTTTCTGGGGAAAATACTTCCCATGATTGAAATGAAATACTTTCAGCACCTCAGGCCAATCTACTCATCTTACTCCTGGTATTCCCATCTGCATCCCTGTAACAAAGCACAGTCCAATGAAGAATACTTTTTGTCTTTGGGAGAAACAATAGTGCATAATTTTCACCCTCAAAGAGCAACCCCTGTATCATCAGGAAGTCATTGAAACCTATCAGATGCAGAGAGAAGGACTGGGTGTAGGCAACTGAGTTAAGAACAGCAGGCAGCAAACAGAACTCTGCTGTTGAGGTCTCCCCGCAGAGCCCAATGCATGCATTACTGATGCTGCTGAAAAACTATTTCAGAAAGCCAGGGGAAAAAAGAGGAATGGACGACCCAACCCAACCATCACACAGATTGTAACATTGTTCATGAGCAGGAATCTGGGAGACATGAATGCCATCTTCAGCAGAAAGAGTAGAGATCTCTGTAGAGGTCTCATGGTGTAGACACTCTGAGATTCAGTGCCTCTCAGGTGTAGTGCCCAGTACCAAATGTTCCTTACAGTCATTTGAGACTCTGCTCCCACATAAACCTTCTCACACAACTTAGCTTTAGCATGTGACTTCATTTAGCTTTGTTTTGTTTTGAGAGTGTCCTGTCTGTCCACAGAATTAGAATTACCGTATTAACAAAACACATAGTTAAATGTTACTCTAAGCAAGTGTGCAACTCTTCTTCCATCAAGGAGACACTGGAAGTGGTGACTTGATGATGTTTGCCCCATCTAGGATGTTGCTGGGCAGGGGTTTCTGAGACACTCTGGCAGCTCAGATCCTAAGCTAACTGAGCAAGCCGCCCCTGCAGTCAGGCAAGCAGTTGTGAGCTATTCTCTAAAACAATCTTGAGTCTTTTGCCCATAGGCTAAAGGAAGGAAGAAAAGGAGCTCAAGGCAGGAAAGCATCAGCATAATTAGACACTGGGTAGAGGGTCCTGAAATGCTCTTCTAGAGTAAGGCACCAGAGGACCAAGCATGGAGCTGGGGTTTGAAGAGAGGTTGGTTCACAGTCCTTCTCTGTGTCCTCTCTTAGTGGAATGAGCTTTTAAACAAGAACAACAATCCCATGGTATGGGCCCCATTCATGTGAGTCCACCATCTCCAAAATGAGGGGACTAGGTTGTGACATGAACTGAGGGTGAGCACAAAATCTCAGCTGATAGCACTATGCTTTCTTCTGCCTGTCTTCCATACTCAGCAAGGCATGTCCAAGTGGCATTCATGTCACCATGCCTCATGGGTAAGCATTGCTGAGAAACAAACTGACTGATGACCTCTTTGAGACTATAAGGCCTCTTTGGTTCTGGAGATGTAGGGAGCATGCCACTCAGAACTAGTTGACTGACATCCTGTTGAAAATCAGGCCTGGAGCCAAGGGCCAGTGTGCATGAAAACACACACATGCCCAGTCCTGAATATGGACATCATTTTCCATGGCAGAAGCCTAAGCCTGTGGACAAGTGCCATCACTATCAGATAAACTCAGTATGACACATGTACAATGTGCTTCAAGGCCAGCTCACCCCAATCTTTGGAAATAATTCTTTTAAAAAAAATGAGATATGAGTTTTTTGGAAGTAATAATAAATCATAGAGTCTGTTTAAAGTTTAATTTTAATCAAAATTCAAAGATTTTTATTAGTGACAAGGAAAAGCTACCTAGTTAAATGATCAGAAAGCCCTGAGAAATCCCCTAATCAAATCTTATGTTCAGGGACCCTTCTACAGTACCGATACTACTCTCTGGGAAAGGCAGAGAATCCCCACCCCTGCAGTGAGTGTAGGCTGAAACATCACAGAAATGATGAGGCTCTACCTGGAATTAGACACTATCTAGAAAGTTAATTAAGTTTCTGAGAACTTTTTCATAGGGTTTGTCTCCACATATGAAGAGCATGTGTCTTCACAGCCA